GTTTTTTTTGCAAAAATCTAGCATGCCTCTCTTGCCCCATTCACCTTACTCACCTGACTTCACTCCTTGCAACTTCTTTTTGTTTCTGAGAATGAAGGACATGTAGGACATGTCCTTACAACTTATTTTTGTTTATGAGAATGAAGGACATGAAAGGACAGTGATTTGGGGACATAGAAGAGGTGAAGAAAAAAAACGAGGGAGGTGCTGTCACCCATCCAGACAGATGTTTGAAAAATGTTTCCAAGAATGGAATAGCAGATTTGACAATTGTATTGAGTGTAATGGAGAGTACTTTGAAGGGGTTAAGTTTGTTTTGAAAAAAAATTTAAATTCATAGCTTTGGGGAAAAAATGTCTGGCTTTGGAGAGCACTGCCTTATAGGCATATGTGCTACTTATACATGGTTTTTCTATTTTATTTCCAGGAGATATCTTTTAACACAAAGTGTACAACATGTGTTAGTTTATTAACTCGACTTTTGTCACACATTGGCAAACTCTTTAATATCTAGAGACCAGAAATTACAAAATTATGACTCATTTGTCCAATGCATCCACACAACATATATAGTACAGCAAAGTTACATAAAAAGCATGTAACGTACAGGGCCATGGATAATCTGAAAATTTCTGATACACACTGACACCTTCCGCAATTTCTGCCCTTCACCTCCCCCTCCACAATGAGCAACAAGTCCAGAGTTCACTGCGGTGTTTCACAATTCCATTCCCAAAGACAATGTTTCTATCAAGTCTGTAAAGCTGTTTACAAAACGTTAGCCTACTTACATATACCAGGCACATCTGAACCTTTGAGAGACTGGTTCTTTCACATGAGCACGTGCTTGTCCAGCCCCTACACTCTCTGCTGTGAAGTTCGTTCTGACTTCACGCGGGCTCTGTGGGCTGGCTAGGACTACCCCTGTGGATGTCTGAGGCTGTAACTCCTTACGGGAGTAGAAAGCCTCATCTTTCTCCCATGTATAGCTGGTGGGTTTGAACTGCTGACCATGAGGCTAGCAGGCCAACTCGTAATCATGATGTCACCAGGCCTTTTACTATAGACAGTACTGTTAAAATGAAATTGCACACACAATGATTATAATCTGAGGTATCCTCTAAATACATTATTATTTTGGTCTTAACCTCATTCCCTTTGTTCCACCTCATTTTGCTCGGTTGAAGGATCTGATAAATGTATGTGTAATTAAATAACCCAAAACTCATTGCCATTGAGTTGATGCTGATTCATAGTGGCCCTACAGGACAGGGCAGAACTGGCCCCGTGGGTTTCCGAGATGGTAGCTCTCTATAGGAGTGGAAAGCTCCAGCTTTCTCCCTTGGAGTGGCTGGTGGTTTCAAACAGCTGACCTTGCAGGCAGTAACCCAACATGTAACCCCTACGCCACCAGAGCTCCTTTATAATTGAATAAAGTCATGAATTAAAACATGAATGAATGAAAGACGTTTTAGTTCAGGTCTCTCTTTGTTACTTAGTGCTTTTATGACAGAAATACTACAGGTGGGTGATTTTAGCAAATAGAAATTCACAGTTCATGAGACTCAACAAGAGTCCCAGTTCAGGCACTGGGTGTAATCAAAATTTACCTTAAATAGAGTGCAACAATGCTCAGGTCTATTGGCTTCTATCATTCATTGTACAGTAAACAGTGAGTGGGCAGGGCATCAATTCCGCTTTTCCATGTTCCTGTGACCACCTGAGAGTCACCTTGGCCTCAGCATGGGCCGGGGAGGTCTGTTTAACAGATGGAGGAAGGGCTCATCACAATCCCCTTCTTATCCCCAAAGACATGTAAGGAAGTGCCTTTGCTGTTGGTCCTTACCAATCCTGGGGGAAACCTTCCTTTGAATAACAATCACAACCAGGCAGCCCTCCAGGCTGCCTGGCATCATCTCAGAGTTGCTGTGTTCAGCCCAGTGCTTCCCAGACCTCGATGGCTTTCATGACCTTGCCCTAAGTGCAGTGTCTCTGGAGCCACCATGTACTGACCATGCCTCCTTAAAGTCAGAGAAATTAACAAGCTCGGTATCGTCTATAAACTTGCTCCTGTAAATGGTGCTACTACATGTAAGCACAATGTCTCATGGGTGATAATCAGGAGGGCACTGTCAAAATAGACTCATAACTATGAAAAATAAAATGCTTATCCTTAGACCACTGAAAATGATCTGCACCAGCATTACACCCAGCATGGTATCAACCTCAAAGACATGGGTCTCGAGCCCAGATACACATTGAGATCACCTGGGGAGCTTTCAAATCAACCGACGTTCCACCAGCAAGAACCCTGACTGAATTAGTCTGGAGGGGTTTGGACCCTCAGGAGGGTGCAACAAGGGGGCATGGTTGAGAATCATTGTTCCAAACCACTGGTTCTCAAAAGTGAGGGACCAGGGTGTAGCCGTAGCAGTGGTGGGAACTTGTTACCAATGCATATTCCTGGGTCCCACCCCAGATCTGCTGACTCTGGGGATGCAGCCCAGCAATCTGTGTTTTTTATAAGGTCCCCTCCCGGGGTAATTCAGATGCATATTTGAGTTTGAAGACCCCTGTCCTAAACCAAGCCCATGGACCTTGTGTATACGCAGAAGGGCTGAACCAGACCATGCTGAATTCCCCGGGACCTTTCTTATCCCAGCCCAGCCTTCCTTGCAGCCCAAGGATCACGATGCAGACTCCAGGACATTAGCCCAGGCGTCCAAGGGTGTGGAGAGACCACCTCCTTTGCAGCAGAGCACCAAACAAACGAGTTGCCAGGGCAGCAGTACTGGAGCATGGGTGACCCCAAACGCATCAGAGCAGAAGTGCGTTCCATAAGGTCGTCAACGCTGATTTTTAAAAAGGAGCTAGTCAGGACTTTCTTCTGAGGCTCCTTTGGGTGAACTTGAACCACCCACCCTTGGGTTCACTGCTGAGTGTGTTTTAAACATGTGTACCACTCAGGAGAGTGTTACCTCTTTTTAAGCTCATCTGCACCCGCCAGGGTATTCTCCTTCTGCAGCACGAGCCGGGCATTTTCCAAGACAGCCTCGCCCACCTGGAAAGGTCACAAAGGAAAGTCAGTCACTGGAGTCTTCTCCGTCACTGACCGTCCTGCCTTGCACAACACCCTAGGTTCTGCGGCTCTGAGAAACTTTGAGCACCCTTCTTAAAGCACATGTTTTTAGAATGAAAAATGTGTCTCTCTTCACACACATCTCCTCCCCCGCCCCCCATTCCCATGGCAGGTCTGTAAGGACAATACCTTAAAGTAAGCAACCATTGGACATCAAAAGGACAGCACAGGACCAAGTACAGAGGGTTTGGAAAGGGGGAGGAGTGGAAACCGGAAACACAGGGAGGAAGCGGAGGAAGGGCTGTTACATTGAGGCAACTGCAATGGAAGAGTTGAAACAGCACCTATGAATTTTGTTGAGAGTAAAACTGATTATCTCCTTTGCCAACCTTCATTCAATGCCCAATAAAATATTCAACTGCATAAACAGATACATTTAAAATGTGCCTCTCTCAGAACAGAGGGGACAGCTAAACAAAGGTCAGGCAGTGTAGTGTGGGAGGCCAGTGGCTGGCAGACCCCCGGGCTGCCTGGAAGCTATCATGAACGCCCTGAGTGAGCCCGATGGCCTCTGGCCTTGGCCGTCATGAAGCATGTGAGCCCTGGACAGTGAGTAAGGGAGACTGGAGAAGAATGGGTGCATTCCAATTTATGGTGCTGGCAAAGATGGAAAGCACCATGGTCTTCCAGACAAACAATCAGATCTGTCTTGGAAGAAGGACAGCCAAAATGCTCCTTCGAAGTCAGAGGCCAAAACTTCATCCCATGTGTTTTGGACATGTTGTTCAGAGAGCTCAGTCCCTCGAAGAGGCCATCAGGCTTGGAAAAGTAGAAGGTCCATGAAAAAGAGGCAGCCCCTTGACGAGTAGCTACAGCAGTGGGCTCAGACTCACGATTGGAGGGTGGTGCAGGCCCGGTCAGTGTTTTGCTCTGTTGTACAAAAATTGACTTTATGGCCCCTGACAACGACCACAACAATTATTTGTTTCTGGTTGAAGGTATCTGGAATGTATTGAGAATGTAATGAATAACTCTTTATTAGTAGTAGCAAACAAAAAAGAAAGAAAGAAAGGAGAAACACAATAGAAAGCAAATGTCTAGAAGAGAATGAGGGCAACATATGTACAAACATGCCTGATTAAACTGAGGTATGGATTGTGATAAGAGTTGTATGAGCCCCCAATAGAATGATTTAAAAAAAAAGAAAGGAGAAACAAAGGCCATATTCAAAACTGTTCTACTATGTTTGATCGTTTTCTCTGCCCTTGAGAGGTATCCGTGTTTCTTGTATGTGTAAGGTGGAAAACCCCTCAGAGGTGAGTTATTGTGCCTCTTTTCCAAACGTTATGTTCAGTGACAGCACACTATTAGCTTTACATGAACAATGGAGAGGGAATTTACACCAGAGAAACTGGAAAACATATAGCTCCCCCACCCCCGACCCCCGAGAGCTAATTGTTAAGTGGATAGCGACCTATTTATTGCCTGTGCTCCACACTTTGAATGAGATAGTAACCACGCCTCATTCTGTGCCTCTAAAGTGGATATCAACGAACCCATTTTACAGATGATCCTGCTGAAGCTCAGAGCATGGAACTGCCCCAGGTCTGGCAGAGCCAGAATGTCAAACCTCGTCAACATGTCTTGAAAGGGTGCATCTTTTTGGAAATCAGCTTTGTAAGTGAAAAGGCCCATTGGAATCAAGAGGGATTCTATTGTGTGGGATTGTGCTCTGCCTTTCCCCTGTTACGTAGAACAGCCATGACTCCTGGTCCTCCCTGGGGCATCATTGTGAAGATGTGGGATGAGGTTGCTAAACCCACTGTACACCCCTCCCCCCCCACCCATCTCCCACTTCAAATCCAGACCTTCCCTTTCAGAGCCCAGAAGCCGGGAAGCCCGAGAGGCAGACCCATAGGTCTATCAAGGGCCTGCGCTGCTGAGAGCTTTGCAGTCTAGCCCCAAAGCAGAAAGGTCATTTGTATTTAAAACCAGGACATGTATCAATGTATAAAATGAATAAAAACATTAGCTGCCTGGTCCTCTTTGATTTATGGTCAAAGTCAATGCAAGGCAGAGGTGCATGCAAATTCTTTTTTGCCTCACTGATCAATTTTTCTTTCCCAGAGAGAAGGCAATAAAAATAACAAAGGTGAGATGAATAGTCCCTGGTTGAGACTATGAAGACAAATCTCTTTGCCCATGACCTTGGAACTGTTCCTGCCATTCTTCTTATTTTTTGGGAAAAGTAAAAACTAATTGAATGGTCTATTTCAGGAGCCCTGGTGATGGTTGTGCTTAGGCAGTGGGCTGCTAATCACAAGGTCAGCAGTTCGAAATTACCTTGACGCTCCTTGGGAGAAAGATGAGACTTCTTACCTCTGTAAACAGTTAGGGTCTCAAAAGCACCCAGAGGCAGTTTCACCCTGTCCTATAGGGTTGCTAGGACTCAGCGGCATAGAGTTTTTTGGGATGGGTCAGGGCTAAACTTGGAAGGTGGGCAGGCTGGCAGTTGCCCCATGGCATGGCTAGAGGGGCAGCAGGACCGGGCTTCTCCAGCTCTCAAGCCTTCCTGCCCAAACAATGCTATGGCACCAGGAGGCCAGATCCCCGTTGAGAAAACCCAGGGTTCTGTGGGAGACCGGGAGGCCTGGAGGGAATAGGTCCCAGCAGCAGTTCGTTTTGAGGGAAATTGAAACAAGGGACACTTTCATAGCACAGCATAAGGAACTGTACAGGGAGGGCAGACTGGGCTGAACAGCAGGAGAGCAGGCAGCTAGGGTTCAAGAGAGGTCATGGGAGATATTCCAGGCAAGAGGGCTGGCCACTGGCAATGCCGTTCCAACTGCTCTCAGCTCCTCAGGAAGCTGTCCCAGTCTACCTCCCCAGTGCGACTCCCCCCTGGGCCTCAGCCCCGGTGCTTCCTGTAGCCTGTCATATACAAATGGTTCTCAGAATCCGGCCCCTGGGCCAGTAGCAGCAACAGCAGCCAGGGATTTGTGAGAGAGGCAAACTTGACCAGATTTCAGATCTCCCCATCAGCTTCCCTGGAGGGCCTGGTTGTTTTTTAACAGGGCTTCGGGGGCATTCTGATGCCTGCTCATCTTTGAGAGCTGCTGCTTGATACAGACCTGCATCTAAGCTGCACCCAGAGCTCTTGTCCTTGCAGGTGTGTAATTCACACTTAGAACAGCTCCCTTCCCTGCTGCCTGAAAAATCCTACCCTGTTCATCTTAAATATGGCATCCTGTGCAAAGCCCTTTTAGTTACCCCTTCTTGCTTTGATTTCTTCAGAACGTAACTGTGGTCTGCTCTGTGTCAGGCTGTGTGCTGGCTCTTGGGGAGTCCGTGGTAGGAGATGAGGCTGAAGAGGTAGGCAGGCATCAGATCATGCAGGGAAGCCTTGGAGACCATGGCGAGGAGGTGGGTTTTTCCTGGGAAGTCTCTGCAAGGCTGTGACCAGGACACAGATGTGATCTGATTCGCGTATAAGTCGACCCCCCTGACTGCTGTGGGAAGGACCGATTGTGGAGGGGCAGCAGTGGACATTGTAGGTCCAGAAAGGAGTTTCTTGCAATTGTCCAGGGAACACTGCTGTCAGCTTGGACTCAGGTGGTTGTAGGGAAGGTAGAGAGTGGTGGGCATGCTGTATCCTTATTTGGGATGTGGAGGGTGGAACAGACAGCCATTGGTGACGGAATAGTCATGGGAAGAGTAAGGGAAAGGAATCAAGCCTGAGCTCCTGGAAGTCTATTGTAACTTCTACTGACCTTCTCCCTCCCTCTTGGATCAGCCCTGCATCTGAACTGCGCCCCACCCTGGTGACCTGCCATCCCTGTCTGACCCACTTTGCACAAATGCTTTGCCAATGATGACAGCGTTTTCTTATGTTTGGGCGCCCCCACTCACCAGCTTGGGCCAGATACTTAAGAGTGGGTGACTCGGTGATGCTTCGTTTTCCTCATCCATCAAATGAGGATAATAACAGCCCCTGCTGTTTCGAGAGGCTGTGACCATTCAATGGGCCAATGGGTGCAAAGCAGTCGGGGTAGGCTGCTGGCACCAAGGCACCTGAGTGGTGGCCATCATTGCTATTGTTATTTGTCTTGGTGCAGAGCAGTTGGGAAATGACTGTCAAATTGAATTTGATGGGTTGGCGCAGTCTGGCGCTGTTCCCGCTGTGCTCATTCTGAGTGTAGGAGCGGTCGAATGAAGACGTCCATCTGGTGGCTTGATGTGTTTATATATTTCAGCATTTCCTCTCCAAAGTCAGCGGAAAAGCCCAGCTCCCTGGTCGTGTAATGACGAGGACTTTATCCCTTGCTCTTGCTGCTGCTGCCCGCACTGTGGAGGGAGGTAGTTATTAAATGGAGCTGCAGCTGGGTGAGGACCTGGCCAGTGTGGTGTTTACAAAGGCAAGACAAGCAGCAGTTTAAAGGGGTAATTAGTTGAGCTCAAGCGTACAGTTAATGCTTTATCTGCGTGGAAAATATTGGCATCCTAGAGCTATAGCTGTGGACGCGAGGAGGAGGTGGGCACAGCTGGGCTCCCGGGGCTTCAGCTCAGCTGGTGAAGCGGCAAGATGCTGCATGGTCCCTTCCAGAAGCCGTTTCAAGTTTCTTTGACCGCCAAGTCTAGGACAGGTGCTCTGCGTAGCTTTCTTCTGTCCTCATCTGTCCCTAGCTCTCAATGATGCCAAGATGGTGACGACCGCCACCGTACGAAGTTCAACAGACGCTCCTCGGCTCTCACCTGGACCCCAGCTGCCTTTGTCATGGACGAGGCCCTTTCTTTCTTGGGTTCCATGGCCCTCCCCCTTCATTCAGCCTCACTGGGCACCCTCCTTTCCTAGCTCCTGCTCCTTATCTACCTTCAGATGTGAGAGCCTCTCAGGATCGGGTTTTGGGGTCTGTCTTAGCCTAAATTCTCTAGAGAAGCAAGACCAGTGGAGTTGATGTATGTATACACAAGGGCGTACCCCC